CTCCTCCGCAAAGGTTTCAGTGACTACAATGAGCTTTACATGGCGCTTACCGTATTTATCAACAAACTGACATATAATTATAAAGTATATATATATATATATTAAGTATACTTTATAACTATACGTCAGTTAGTCGATAGTGCAATCTGATGGCAATTTACTATAAGCTACATTCGCAATATATTTTGCTAATTTGCGATTTTCTAATTTTACTGCAGTTTTAATTTAAATTCAGCCGTTTAGTGGGCCGGCTATAATTGTAGTTGTGATCGTTATAAAATATATCAACAACTGACAATAGTATAATCTAATTAGCACCAGCCAATCAAGTGACAGATTTAAAAAATTGTTTGTCTAATCGGCCAATCAGACGAAAAAGCCAGAATCTGGCTTTTTACATGCGCCACGGTAAAGAATTGTATCAGGCCCTCCTTCATTCGCCGCCGCCAATTAATCCTGGCGAATGAAAACTTAAGGGCCTGATACTCAGGTTAGGTTAGTTAACTTATTGAGTGCCAGCATGTTTCCCCCCTTTACATTTGACACAGTAAGTCACTAAAGTATGGCACATTTAGGCATTGCCACACAAGGGTTTATATTATGAAATAGGTTGTATTTACAGGTTGTATTTACAATCACTCAAATGCATGCAATATGCAAGGTCAGTGTATTTGTTTTTGTTTTGTATAGTTGGTTTACTCCTCTTGCCATTGGACTTGGCACTGGTGCGGTTGCTGTTGTAGCAGCACCTGTTGTAGTTGCAGCTGCTGGTTTTACATCTGGTGGCATAGCCGCTGGTTCTGCTGCCGCCTCAATGATGTCATCTACGGCAGTGGCAAGTGGTGGTGGTGTAGCGGCAGGTTCACTTGTGGCAACCTTACAAGCAGTTGGTGCAACAGGCAGTCTAGCTGCTGCTGGTGGAACTGGGACTGCAGCTGTAGGAGGCATTGGTGCTTCTGTTGGAGCAGGGATTAGTTGGTTGGCAAACAAGTTTACTGATGGAAACAATGATGATAGTGAAGGTGGAAATAAAGATGGTGATGATGGTAATAATGATGGCCGTGATGGTGGTGGTAGTGGCAGTAACAGTAGTAATGATATATAGTATTGATGGTGGTAGTGGTGATCATGGTAATGATGATGGTGATGGTGGGAAAAATGAATGATGGTCAATCTTTACATGATGGTGGTAAATTTGGAGATAGTGGTGGTCAGTCTGCAAATAGTAGTGGTGAATCTAGACATGGTAATCTAAAGGCCAGGAATGGTATTGCACATACTCCTGTTGAACATGATGACGTTGATAGTGAAATTGAAGATACAAATAAAAAAACAATTTCTATAGACAAACAATAGTTAATTGTTTTTGTTTGTGGAAACACCACGTAAATTTATTACTGCAAAGCTTTCGATCCGTAAGCCCGGATCTTCATCAGTGCTAATAATATGTATTATTAGCACTGATGAAGATCCGGGCTTACGGATCGAAAGCTTTGCAGTAATAAATTTACGTGGTGTTTCCACAAACAAAAACAATTATATTTTATCGCCATGCAAACATTCAAAGAACTTATAAACAATAGTTAATAATATCATAGATCGTTGTAACAAGATGATAAATTTGTTACAAACACGCAATTGTTGACAATGATATACGGCAACACATCAGGGAGGGGTTGTACGAAGGCCGGATAGCGCTGTCTACTACGAATATGGATCCCACAGTTAATAAAAGGACACTTCAAGTCTTGAACTTTTATATAGAAAATTTAATAGTGGTAATATATCCAAGTCAACGGCCAATTTAACTAATTTAAGAAAGAAGAAGAAACCCGGTCAGAGGATAACGCTATCCGGCTTTCGTATAGCTTGCGTGTCAGGCTGTAAAACTACTATGCCGGGTAATTGTAATTCAGCAATACCTTAGTTATTAGGACCTGTATATGAGTTTGTATGCATTTCATTTAGGACAGATAATCTCAACTGTTTTAGGGTAAGTTGACCATGACGGTCAACATGGTAACGCTGCCCGAACCCCAATCCGGGGCGAAAC